GCGTAAATAAAGATTCCAATGACTTTGTTTTATCCAGTAATTACGCATTCACAGCATAGTTGCCTTTGAGTTTAAAAATTCAGATGATATTTATTAATTAAATCTTATTTGATCGGGTTATATTTGGTATGGTCTATTAGAGGAGTAAAAAGCGTCAACAGTCTATCAACAAAAAATCGCATCACTAATTTTTGATAGTATACTGATAGTATTCTTGTAATGTTTTAATTCAAATCAAAATAAAATATTAAGTTTATATTACTTGATTTATAATTAGATTTAATTTTAATTCCAAGTACTTTACATGTAATCTATCACAATGTATTCACTGTATTGCATCTAATCTAATCTTTTATTTAGTGGACTACCATTAATCCCGGATTTAGTTTTTAATAAAAGCACAAACGTCCTTATCCCCATCCCATTTTGAGCACTGTTGTATAGTCTCAGTATGAGAACATTTTTTATAATTATTCTATTATGTGTTGGCTATCAAAACTTAAGGTTAGCTCTAGAAGCTTAAGGTTAACTCTAGAAGCGTAGGCGATACTTATAATTTGTTTTTTATCCACATTAATAAACTGACTGACAAGCGGACACTATCGATGTATTCTATATACCTAGTAGGTTATTTTGATAATGGAATATATAATGGTTTATTTAAATATACGCAGCAATACATATATTCGGAAGTAAACACACAAGGTAAATTGTCTGATTGCATTTCACTAAGTAAATGCTAGCGTGATCCTTATCACTGTACTCTCCAAGTGGAAACACAGCCTCCACGTGACTCCCTCTGGAAAGCTGCAGTCCTAAGTGCATGTAAACTAATGTATACAGCGAAATCGTACGTCTTCATGAATATATGAGGTTTTGCGTAGGATTTGGAACCCACAATCTAAAAACACCTTTCTAATGAAAACGAAGAGTCAACCTCCGAGAAGGAAACCGTTTACCAAATTAGCTGATTTAAAACTAAGGTTAAGCTAAACAAAAACTCGTTTTTCGATGTATTCTATGTTTTAACCAGAGGTTAATTAAGTTCGTAGAGTGTTTTACTTGATTATGAACATACTTCTATACATTCTTCTATTGTTTATAAATACTCTATAATATGTTAGCTATCAGTACATAGCTTGTGGTTAACTGTGGTAATATGAAAGATACTTATAAGTTCTTTATATCCATATTACTTTGGTGATTTAAAACTAAGGCTGTGAAAAGTCTCAAAGTCTGCGGAAAAAAAAATCATTATATATACCATAATGATATGTTATCTATTTCCAAATGAAATACTAATGGATGTATAGTAGTATTCACATAAGATATTTAATATATATAAAATTTATATTTTTTTTAATTATGTTTCTTGAGTAAATTTCACTTAATTTGTATTTAAAGTAGAGCCTACGTGAGTCATTTGTATCTTGTAATTAACTTTTACTGTTTCCCTAAAATGATAATAAAAATACATGTAACTCACCCATCTCACAAGTACTTTACGTTTTTCTTCAGTTTCTTTATGTGCTCATTGAACTGTCCAAATAGACGAAAATTGAAGATACAAATTGGGAACGTATCTAGATATTTCATGTCAAGATATAATCTAGTAATTCAATTAAGTCAAAATACGCTTCACACATTTAAATTGTTTTCCAAAAACAACATTTTTGTCACAAGACGATTCCTAACATTTTTCTATTCCTTGGAAACCATTTAGGCAGAAATTACCCAGTGAGCTCCGAAATTGTTTGTAAATCTATACTTCTCTGCTTCTCTGGTTATACAAGTAACATGTTTCCTGCTGTTACTTATATTTTTTTTTGTATTTAGTCCTTGTTTTTTGTGTAAATATTTACTATTTTTATATTGTGTTCCTTTGTGTATTGCTTATTGCAATTGCCACCCTCGTTGATAGCTATACATGTGCATGTATACGCAGTATCTTCAGTGACTAAGAGATCAGTTCGAATTCATTCGATTTAAACTGATCTAAATTAATCTGGTCTTACGTCCTGCTGCGAATTTCACAAAACACTTCGGTCAGTTAAAGTCATGCTGTCATTAATGCAACGCAATACGATTTACTGCCGAAAGTGTATTTGATTCCGTTTAAGAATGAACGACTAAGGCTGCTGACTCCTGCTCAAGTTTTTGGTAGAATAGAAATTCTACTAAAAGAGTCGAAGATGTTAATAATTTCGAAATTTTACACAGATCATTGAAATTTCTTAATAATTCGTTTTTAAAATGCATTTTATAAAAATCTTTATAAACAATTTTTTGGAGAGGCAAAAATTTCAAAAACATAAAGTAACCTATATAAGATATCCAAAGTTTTCCATAAGTATCACAGTTAGGAATTTGAGAAATTTGCTTATAGATCATATTAAACTAAATATATACAACAATTTTCATATAGTAGTAGCTCAGCGACATATAGCCTCCTTGCTGCCTTTTGATTATTATGTATATTTGTGATAATATATGCAAAACATTTACTCCCCATGGATTTTTATTGTTTTACGTATAAAAAAATGACTCAGAGTTATCATTTAGACGGTCAAATTTTCACAACCCATACCGAAAATATTGTCACTAAACCACAGTCACTTATTAGCGTTCGATTGTGATGCACACTTATTTCTTGTAGTGATTTTTGATTCCTATATATCCTCCGGATGACAAAATATCATCAAAAGATTTCCTGAATTCAATAACAATAAAAGCAACATACTTCATATCTTTCTGCTGATCTCTAATAGTTTTAAGATATTTGGTGACTTTAATTACTATCTATGTAAAACACTTACAACAATTTTGTCGTTCTTCTATCGTCTTAATGACCAAACATGTTCAGAAGATTCCCTAACTTTTTTGATGATTTATGTAAAACATTTTCATATCCCAAAGATTTGTGGGTTTTGATAAATTTTGACTAAATATGGTAGGTGTTAAGAGATTCCCTGATGTCGAGAAACTCGCTGTCGAGTTTCAGTCTATGTAAAACCCTTACAACGATTTTTAGTTTACTTCATATCCTCGTAATGATCAATCATTTTAAAAAATAGACTCACTTTTATAACGATCTACGTAGAATGCTCATATATCTTAAAGTTTTTTGGTTTTTAACATATTTTTGTAGATCTCTATTTAAAACTTTTTTCTTCTGATCGATTTTTGGTTTTTACATATCCTGCACATACATCACTTTTAAGATCATATTTATAAAATATAAACTTCTACCGATATTCTATGTAACATATTCAGTTATTCTGATAAACTTTTACTGTTTACATATTTTTGTGTTGACTAAATATCTCCACTGGTCCCTCACAAATTTAGCCAGATCAAAAAAATTGAACGACGAGGGTTTACATAAACCAAAACGTTAAGGTTAAACTTTAAGACTATGGACATAAGAAACTGGATTTATATATTTTATAAACCTTATTTAATTGGTTCAAATAGGTAGAGCTCTCTCTCTTGTCAAAGTAACGCGTACGGACCACTTTATTACCACATACTCAAAAATGTAATTCTGAATATAGATATTTTTATTTGAAACCAATCTGTTCGGTTGATTAGTTTTAAATATGGGAATATTTTCGTGAGACTTATATTCAAAATGCTAGGATTAGTAGTTCATAGATTTTTATAGTTGAATGTGTTGCTTTATTCAGACCTGGGCATTTGCTTAAAAATCACTTAATACCGCTTCTATAATTCCTTTTTTTTTCATCTGCCATCCTGGTTAAACAGACTACCACGCATTTCGTCACTTTGCAACACGTGTAAAGCCGAACAGTTGCAGACCCAAGATTACTGATATATACTCTTCTAAAGTCAATATTTTTTTACGATATCTTTTTAATATCTTTTTAATATCTATAACATTTATATCATTATTTAATGATTATGTAATTTTGTGTTAATTTACGTAAAACAATAAATCCCCCTTATCAATTTTGGAATTCTCACACATAAAAAAGTAACTCGATGCAAAGGTATTATGGCGACATAATATCTCTTACATATATATACTTATTCGAATGATGATAATGATATAATATACAATCTTCTCCAGAAAATATCTCGTTATTTGACTCTAGAATTTTTTGTACCATTTAATGGTTGTGTATTTCTGCGAGAGTGTCTGCAAAATACTAATTCTTCTTTTGACTCCTCATCATCTTACCCACTATCTTGAAGGCACGATTGCTCGCCCGCCAAACATCTCGCTCTACAACCAGGGCTCGCTATGACCCCATAGATTTATCATAATTTTTTAAAAAACGTCCGAAATACATCAAAAGTGGTAACTTTTAACAGCCTATATCTTTGCAACCTCCCAAGATAAATTAAGAAATTTCAAGCTTCTCAAAACTATTAAGAAATTTCAGTTTCTATTTTTAGTTTCTATATTAAAAAATAAATAAAAAATTGTGGTGTTTGCTTTTGTAAGCTGGAATCAATATTTCTATTCCTAACGGCGGTACGGAACGCTTTAAAATCAATTTATTTTCAAATTTTTTTTCGCATTTTTTCCTTTTCCACTAAGATGCTAGAGAGTGATATAATCAATCGGATCAGAAAAAAGGCTCTCAGTTTGCATACAGCTGCGGACCACCCTAATATATAGATATGAAAAATAAAAAAATTTGATATCAGATACATTCTTAGTTTTATTTCATAATATTAACTATGAGATCAAATAAACACGAATTAGTTTTGTAAGTACCGAAATACTAGAATAACCGGTATTATGGTAGTTCTGAGGGTTTATAACATGTACGACAGTCTTTAAAATCAAAAATTTTACATTTATTTTTAGACGACTTAACTCTATTAGGTACACCAATTAAAATTACAATGTACTTTAAATTAAAAAACAATAACATTAAAATTAATTCATTAATTAAATATACAACATAATAAAATTATATTATTTAAATATACTAAATAAAAATATTATTAAATATTGTAGGATACACAGGATGATAGGTTACTATTTACAGATACAAGACAACTTTAAATATCTATTGACGATTCAAAACGGCTCTATGTATTTAAGAATACATATACTTTGGCCTGTTTATATAATGTATATTAATGTGTATGTTTTGAAGATATATATTTGCATATACAATTTTTTTTCTCTAGGAATTAATTACAGAACTCACTTTTTAGACGTTTATTACAAAAACTCTATATAAATAATAATAATAATAATAATATATAATTAAGTGCTCAGCCTTCAATGTGCGATTAGATTTGCAAATTGCAACTATATGCAGATTACCCGATTGTATGTATGTATGTGTGTGTATTTGTGTGTGTGTGGGTGTGTGTGTGTGTACGTAAATCTATTTTGTGACAATTGTACGAAATAGATTACAACTAAGCTAGTTACTTTTGAAAACCTTTTTAAAGCTTTTTATCTACTCATTATCTCGTCTATCGTGAAGCCTAAAGTACGCTTCGGTTTCTGAAGTTTTATATTGAGGCTTGACGAAGAAAGATCTAAAGCTGGCATCGTGGAGAATTCGTCAATATCACTGATAGATGTATTTAAGGTGTTTTGCTGGTGTAGCACATCACTTTCCATATGATTAACGGAGGACTCATGTCCAGCGCCTTCCATATCATGACTTTGTAGATGGGTTTTTAGATTGTTTTTTTGATTGAAACAACGTTTGCATATGGGACATTTATGTGGAGCCTCTTCTAAGTGTGTCACTTTATGTACAGCCAGTGTACGGGATTGGCAAAATCCTTTGCCACAATCACTGCATTTGAATGGTTTATCTTTGGAATGTATATAACGATGATCGCGTAGGTGATCCTGACGACGAAACGCCTTGCCACATATCTCACAGGAGTAGGGGCGTTCGTTGGTATGGGTCCGCTCGTGTATTAGCAGATTGTAGGATTTCGTAAAATGTCTATTACAATATTTACAGATGAATTGTTTTTTTGGTCTGTTGCCAGTTGAAGAATTGGCCAATTTCATTGAATTGATGGGACAATTATTAAGACGACTGGGTGAATGCATATTTTGGATTGTCGTATAGTGACGCATTTGAAAAGCGGGTGGTGTACTATGATAGAATGAGGCATTACGAAACCATTGATTCATAAGGAATGCTTGTTGGTGTACGGTGACTGGATCTGTTGGCATTGAAGTACCTGGAAGAAATGTTGTTGTTGTGCCACTGCCATGTCCATAGGATAAACAGTATGCGGTTTGATGGTTTTGTTGCATTTGTAAATAAAATCGATGTTGTTGATGTTGTTGGTTTTGTTGCTGCTGCTGCTGCTGTTGCTGTTGCTGTTGTTGTTGGTGTTGTTGTTGTTGTGTTTGAGAATGCTGTTCAGAATGCTGCTGATATGAAGGCTGCACATCATGTAGCTCCATTATAGGAAAAGTACGATGATTTGGAATATGCAATTCCTGTGTTTCAAAATTTATAAAATTCGTCTCATATGGTATACAATTATCTTTGAGGCAACGTATGCGATCTTCCGTCGGTGTATGAGGCGGCGTAAGCATAGGCGATAAATCACCGTCACGCTCTTCCTTTATAAGCGCAAGTTCTTCACAAATGTCTGTAATACGCATTAATAAAAAAAAAAAAAAACAAAAAAAAATTTATTTATTTACTATATAATTATCTATTAATTTTATTTATTAAATTAAATAATTAAATATAACATATGTCATTAGTTTGAAATAATTTCTATTATTTTTTAAATTTTATATGTTTTGTTAAAATTGAGAAAAGACCGTCGCTAACCTTGATGTTTCAATGTAAGTTCGTTATTCACAGTAATACTACTATTCATCGACGGCGTTAATACAGATGACATAGTTTTTAAAAAAGAGTTAATATTTAAAATAACAAACGTTATGCAGTTTATATAATCTGTTATAAATTATGAATATCTCTCTATATATATATATATATATACATATAAATTTCTTTTATATATATTTATATGAACACATCCAATAGACTCCCTCGCGTTTTCAATTGACACGTTCCGCACGAAGTCTTTTCACGCACTGAATCCAGGGAATATGCTCTATACCAGTCACTGACTCAATCTCAAAAAATACTACACTCATACCGTGAGAGAGAGAGAAACTTTGCTTTTTGCTTTTTGCTTTTTGCTGTTCGCTATCTGCCTTTTGGTGAAGCTGAGTTAATTGCCGGACTTTTTACTACTACTGCAAATGCCTCTGTTCTGCCGCATTCATGTGTTCTTCATGTTCTTCATGTTCTTCATTTGACTCTATACGGAAAAGAGTAGTGTGCTTGGTGCTGTGTGGTGTGTGGTGTGGCGTGCTGTGATATTGTGTTGAGTTGTTAGTATCGCGTTCATTACAGCTCTACTAGTGCTTAGTACTCGCGTAGTGGTTAAATTTTTTTTGATTGCGCACACATATATACATATACACATACACACACACACATATATATATATATATAGATAAATATAGTGCTATGTGTAGTGTTGATTGTTGTCGATTTGTTGAACAACATTTCAAACAAGAAATCAAGTTATGTAGACGAACCAAATGTTTTTATTTTACAAGCAACTCCCGTGAATTATTTATAAATGGTAGAAGCGTACACGCCTTCCAATGTCTGCACTGTTTTGGATTGGTTGTCTTGTCGGCAAATATGTATATGTTTTGTGTGACAGCGGTTGTATGTCAGTAAGCAAACGGAAACTGTTAAGCTGACGGTTGACGGCTTCCGCCGTAGCCACTTAGCTGATGATTTTTTATTTTTTGGTAGTTGGGAAGTGGTAAGCTGACTTTATTGGTTCAACTTAAGTTTATTTTTTTGCCATCTCACATATATACATACATACATACCTACATACATACAAACAAGTATAATACGAATAAATTCATTCGCGTATTTTACCATATATATATATGTGAATGCTTATAAAAGCAGTTAACATTTTTTCAACCCCATGAATACTACTCGTCCCTAGATTAGACGATAATCAAAGCGCTAGATAACGCAATTTTACAGAAACAAAACAAAAAAGAAAAAAAAAACACCCAGTAATTTTGTTACTCTTTCTACATTTCAAAGTATGTAAATCGACAAGGTTTCTAGTTTAAAAGTCAATTTATTCAATTTTGTAAATTTACTTTTACTTTTTTTTTTCAAAAAAAAAGGTTAGCAATTACATGTAAATAACAAAGCAGTGCTGAAGGGCAGTTTGTCCTGGCCCCCATGCGTTGTCCTTCTTCTAAAGGTTAGTAGCAATTATCTACAATGTACTGAACTAAGGAGTCCCATCGTATCATATACAAAATATTATGACATTTGCTAAATTGTAAAAATAAAAACCTTACAAAATGATGGGATTTTAATAATTAATTTTTCATTAATTAAAAATATTTCTTAAAATAAATAATCGAAAAATTATCTTTATTAATTTTTTATTAACCAGAAATATTTTGTTTCACATACTATAATAAAAAAAATTATTTATAATATCTCCGACAGAGACCCACCAATACTAATTCTTTCTCCTTCTAGCTTTCTGATATTCTGCATAAACATTTAAGACTTGCTCTCTTTAAAATATTCTACCTCTTTCTACTTTCTTCTTTTCTGTTAACTTCTTTCCCAAATGGAGTATATGGTCTCAGAGCTTTCTTTAAGTTTCATGTCGGTCCAAGAATTCACTTGATTGAAGTGAATTAAAAATATCCTCAGTATTATCTCCTTTTCTCTACATTTCTTGATTTCTTCCCATAGAAGAAAAATAATTTATAATTATTTTGTTTTTATAAATTTTTTAGTTTTAAAAATATTTAATTATTTTTAGTTTTATTACAATGATTTTTTAATTTTATTAAAATAGTTTTTTAATTTTATTAAAAAAACTTTTTTATTTTTATTAAAATAATTTTTTAATTTTATAATTTATAATTTTATTTTAATTTTTAGTTTTTCAATTTTTTTAAAAAAAATTTTATTGAATAAAGTATTCGTGTTGCTGTAAAGCTAGACTTTCTTTGTATGGTGACAAAGAAGCTTTATTAAAATTTAGAGGGGTTTTGAATAGCAAAGAAAGAAATAAAAGACAAACACAAAAATTTATTTTAATTTTATTGAAGTTTGGCTGACCATACAACGCTGTTTCGAGTATTGCCAAGTACACCACTTCATCAGTGGTGTTTGGAATAATCGAATTTTTATTTAATTAGTTTATAGTCCGTATATAATTTGTTTGGACTGCAAGTGCCAGGCTTAGAACTCGTGCCTGTCAAATTAGAAGCGATGTAATTTTATTAAAAAAACTTTTTATTATTATTAAAATAATTTTTTAGTTTTAAGAAATAATTTTGTAATTTTATTGAAATACTTTTTTAATTTTATTAAAATAATTTTGCAATTTTATTGAAATACTTTTTTAATTTTATTAGAATAATTTAGCAATTTTATTGAAATACTTTTTTAAATGTATTAAAATAATTTTTTAATTTTATTTTTTTTTTATATAATTTAAACAATACACATAATTCTTTTTGACGTAAACGAAATGAAAAATGTATTTATAATTTTTTTTATACTTCTCTTTCTAACCCTAATTTCCTAGATATCAAAATTTTGAATTTTATAAATATTTTGTACATACTTCTCCCATCCTCTTTTTCTTCCAGTACATCTAATAGCCACAGAGCTTTCGTTTATATCAACAAAGCCAATATCACTTACTTACTTAATTGGCTATTACAGAGGTTAGACGTCCTTGGCTGTGTCTAGTAGCCTACCCATTCAGGGGCTTGTTGTCGTCAGTTGTTAGTACCGAGAGCCTTTATATCGTTAGTCACATAGTCCTTCCACCCAAAATCAAATGTCTTTTATTGAGTTTTTCACCAATGCGCATCGCCTTTCAATCACCTTTCTAGTTGTAGCACTTTCCTCCATTCGGATGACATAACCGAGGCAACCAAACCACTAAATTATTATGCGATAAACTATGTGAATGACGTGGTATAGCTCGTACAACTCATCGTTCCATCTAATTCGATATTCGTGGCCGAAGTGTGGTTACTGCTCAACTTGATCACTCCACTGGATACACGGTAAATCTCTTTCTCCAAATACCGCTGCAAATACTTTCTTCGCTGGAACATCGATATAATAAATACATACTTAACAGTTTTTTTGCCATACTCTCATCCTGAAATCATGCACCCTATATGCATATATATCTATCAAATAATAGGTACTTCTTATTAAGCCTAGGAAAAAATTTATTCTTAGACAGGATTTTTTCGAACATAGTTTCTTTATTTTGTGACAGGTTTCTTCTAACTGCCCGACATACTCTGCATTCGTAGTAATTTTTTATTTAATAATAATTAAATGAGATTTTGATCCAATTTTAATTTTTTACTTACGGCCAATCGGTCGTAAAGTTTCCAAGGATATCAAAGTAACTTGGAACCTAGATTAGATAAACGTTAATAAGCTCATTGAGAAATGAGAGATGAGCGGCACAACTATACTTATATTTTTCTTGTCTCCACATTTTTTATCTTCTAGTCGGCCATTAATGAAAATATTGACTTTGCTATACAATACTGCATTGTTCCTAACCATCTTAGTTAATTGGACATCTTAGATATCAGGCTAAAATGTTTAGTTCATTAAGTTGAATGGGTGTCCATCATATTTTCGATATAATTTAATACTTTTATTTTAATATTTACGATTTTTAAGATGAGATTTTTGTTATAATAGTCCAACGGCTGATACATAGAATTTTATTGAAGATGTCATTCTAATTCCTGTTTCTGTACTGAATTTAAATCTAGTTCTGTTCCGAAAATAAGAAACAATGGCATACCAGAATTCTTATGCATCTCATAGTTTACACTAAATTGTTTTTAAACAAATTAAGATAGATAGATCGATAGATAGATAGGTAGATAGATAGGTAGATAGAAAGATTAATAGATAGATAGAGATGCACCGGCCTGTTAAAAGTCTTTTAAGTGCCATTATATTACTAATTGAAAGATAGCACAACTAGAATGCATTCACTTATAAAATAGAGGTCACGTTTGCTAATAGACTAGCAAATCCCTATAATCTATCACTGACACAAAGTTAAATATTTCTTATAACTAATTTTGAGATCAACATTGTGGAGAAGCATTGGAGTTTTAATTTATTTGACATTTATATTTATAAATTTCAAAAACTGTTTTTTTTTATTTTTTCTTAATCCCAGTTTTTATATTGGGTCAATATTAACTGTTAACCATCAAATATTGACAGGATATTATTTATAATAACACCCATTTTAGTTAATGATTATATTTTTATTGCTTGGAATTTTATATTCTATAAGAGTTTCTTCCATAAAAGAGACATGGTCTGGTAAAGTGTGAACATTAGAAAGTCTCTTAAATTCTCTAACTCATCTAACGTTTTCTGAGTAATCGATATGATATCCAGAATGCTAATCGCAGGCTATACAATCAAAAATCTGCTGTATTATCGAAAAATCAAACTGTAATTCAAAATTTGAACCAGATTCTACAACCTCTTACTTAGTGAAACCAAGTAAAATGGGTCTAACCAACTTAAACGAACGATATAACCTTCCTTTTATCTAGACTCTGACTCAACGGAATATAAGGATCAACAAAAAGAACAATAAACCACCGAAAAATTCATTAGCAATCAAAGAAGTTCTTATAGAATCAGACCAGTAAATCTAATTGAAAGATACCAAATACCATCATAAAGCGTATTGTAGATAAAAAAATGTTGAAACATATAATAAAAGTAGAACGCTATGGGCTAGTGAAAAGCTTAAGTAAAAATTTATCGCTGATAGTTGAAAATTGAAAGGATCACTTTCAACTAACCGCAGAAATTACTAGCTTATGATCTATTGGAAAACAAACAGTCAGAGTGGAAATTGCTCACATTTGTTTCTACAGCTATTACGAGACAGAGTTAAAGACACCAATTTTTTTATTTTTTCTTTATATACCCCGATTTTTGAAGACAAAGAACAGCTAACTTAGATATTTGGCTCTTCAATTATTTTGGGAAGCTGCCAGAAACTAATATTAATTACCTTCAAAAGTTTCTAGATCTAATCG